CAGGGCTGAAATCAATCAATTAGAAACAAATAAAACTATCCAAAGAATCAATGAAACAAAAAGCTGGTTCTTTGAGAAAATCAACAAGATAGACAAACCCTTAGCCAAACTAACTAAAAAGCAGAGAGAAACTATCCAAATCAGCAAAATCAGAAATGAAAATGGGGACATAACTACAGACACTGTGGAAATCCAAACAATTATTAGGTCATACTACAAAAACCTATATGGCACAAAATTTGAAAATCTAAATGAAATGGATAATTTTCTTGAAAGATTCCATCTACCAAAATTGAGCCAATATCAGGTAGAAAGACTGAATAGCCCTATATCTCCCAAGGAAATTGAAGCAGTCATTAACAGTCTCCCCTCCAAAAAAGCCCTGGACCAGATGGCTTCAGCGCAGAATTCTACAAGACCTTCAAAGAAGTGCTAACACCAATTCTCCTCAAACTATTCCACAAAATAGAAACAGAAGGAACACTACCAAACTCATTCTATGAAGCCACAGTCACCTTGATACCTAAACCACACAAAGATCCAACAAAAAAAGAGAACTTCAGACCTATCTCTCTTATGAACATTGATGCAAAAATACTCAATAAAATACTTGCAAACCGAATCCAAGAACACATCAAAGATATCACCCACTATGACCAAGTAGGCTTCATCCCAGGCATGCAAGGGTGGTTCAACATACAGAAATCCATCAATGTAATCAACCACATAAACAAAATGAAGGAGAAAAAGCACATGATTATCTCCTTAGATGCCGAAAAAGCATTTGACAAAGTCCAACACCTATTCATGTTTAAAGTCTTGGACAGATCAGGGATACAATGCACATACCTAAAGATAGTAAAGGCAATATACAGCAAGCCTATAGCCAACATCAAACTCAATGGAGAGAAACTTGAATCAATCCCACTGAAATCAGGGACAAGACAAGGCTGCCCACTGTCTCCATATCTCTTCAACATAGTACTTGAAGTCCTAGCCAGAGCAATAAGACAACTAAAGGAGATCAAGGGGATACATATTGGAAAGGAAGAGGTCAAAGTGTCACTATTTGCAGATGATATGATAGTATACATGGGCCACCCCAAAAATTCAACCAGAGAACTCCTTCAGCTGATAAACACCTTCAGCAAAGTGGCAGGATACAAAATCAACTCAAAAAAATCAGAAGCCCTCCTGTACACCAAAGACAAAAAGGTTGAGAAAGAAATTAGGGAAACAACACCCTTAACAATAGCCACTAATAACATAAAGTACCTTGGTGTGACTCTAACCAAGCAAGTGAAAGACCTGTTTGATAAAAACTTCAAATCTCTGAAGAAATCAAAGAAGATCTCAGAAGATGGAAAGATCTCCCGTGCTCACGGATTGGTAGGATTAACATAGTGAAATGGCCATCCTGCCAAAAGCAATCTACAGATTCAATGCAATTCCCATCAAAATACCAACTCAATTCTTTACAGATCTTGAAGAAAAGATTCTCAGCTTCATATGGAGAAACAAAAAACCCAGAATCTCCAAAACGATCCTGTACAACAACAGATCATCTGGAGGTATCTCCATCCCCGATATCAAGCTGTACTACAGGGCAACAGTAATAAAAACTGCATGATATTGGCATAGAAACAGAAAGGAGGATCAATGGAACCACATAGAAGACCCAGAAATAAACCCACACACCTATGAATTCTCGGTATTTGACAAAGAAGCCAAATCCATTCAATGGATAAAAGACAGTATATTCAACAAATGGTGCTGGTCCAACTGGATGTCTACATGCAGAAAAATGAAAATAGATCCATATTTATCACCCTGCACAAAACTAAAGTCAAAATGGATCAAGGACCTCAACATAAAACCAGATACTCTAAATCAGTTGGAAAAAAAGTGGAGAACAGCCTAGAACTCATTGGCACAGGAGACAACTTCCTGAACAGAACACCAACAGCACAGGCTCTAAGACCAACAATCAATAAATGGGACCTCATGAAACTGAAAAGCTTCTGTAAAGCAAAAGACACAGTCATCAAAACAAAACGACTGCCTACAGATTGGGAAAGAATCTTCACTAACCCTTTATCTGACAGAGGGCTAATATCCAGTATATATAAAGAACTAAAGAAGCAGAAAAGCAACAAACCAAGTAATCCCATTAAAAAATGGGGAACGGAGCTAAACAGAGAATTCTCGAAAGAGGAACATCAAATGGCAGAGAAACACTTAAAGAAATTCTCAACCTCATTAGCCATTAGGGAAATGCAAATCAAAACGACCCTGAGATTTCACCTTACACCCATCAGAATGGCCAAGATGAAAAACTCAAGTGACAACACATGCTGGAGAGGTTGTGGTGAAAGGGGAACCCTCCTCCATTGCTGGTGGGAATGTAAACTAGTACAACCACTTTGGAAGTCAATCTGGTGCTTTCTCAGACAATTAGGAGTAGTGCTACCTCAAGACCCAGCTATACCACTCCTAGGTATATACCCAAAATTTGCTCAAGTACGCAACAAGGACATTTGTTCAACCATGTTTGTAGCAGCTTTATTTGTAATAGCTAGAACTTGGAAACAACCCAGATGTCCATCAACAGAGGAATGGATACAGAAATTGTGGTATTTTTACACAATGGAATACTACTCAGCAATCAAAAAGGAGGAAATCATAAAATTTACAGGCAAATGGTGGGATCTAGAAAAGATCATTCTGAGTGAAGTATCCCAGAAGGAGAAAGACAAACTTATATAGACCTACAAGATATGATAAACATAATGAAATCTACACACCTAAAGAAGATAATCAAGAAAGTGGACATGGGTGAAGATGATCAATCCTCATTTAGAAAGACAAATGGGATGTGCATTGAATGTATGACAGGAGTCTACCGCAAAAGGCATCTGAAAGACTCTACCTAGCAGTGTTTCAAAGCAGACACTAAGACTCAAAACCAAACCTTGGCAGAGTGCAGAGAATCATATGAAAGAAGGGGAGTTAATATGATATGGAAAGGATAGAAGCTCTACAAGTACCAAATATATCCGGGCACAGGGTCTTTTCTGAGACTGACACTCAACCAAGGACCATCTATGGATATAACATAGAACTTCTGCTCAGATGTGGCTCATGGTAGCTCAGTAACCAAGTAGTTTTCCAAAGTAAGGTGAACAAGGACTATTTCTAACAGGATCTCAAGGGCAGGCTCTTTGACCCCCCCCCCCCCCAGGGGAGGAACAGTCCTGTTAGGCCACAGAGGAGGACTTTGCAGCCAGCCTTGAAGATACCTGATAAAACAGGGTCAAATGAAGGAAGTCCTCCCCTATCATTGGACTTGGAAAGGGGCAGGGAGGAGACCAGGGAGGGAGTTGGGGAGGGAGAGGGAATGAGGGAGTGGGATACAGCTGGGACACAGAGTTAACAAATTGTAACTAAAAAGAAAAATAAAAATTAAAAAAGCCTATAAATAAGCAATCATAATCTAGTAACAGTCTTTTCTTTTGTTCCTAATACTTCATAAATCAGCCTCTGAAGCTATTGAACCTATTAAGGAAATGATATAATTTACATGGTTCATATGTCGTGCATGATGGTAAGATGTGACATGTCTATTAGGATTATCAGATGCCTGTGCTATGCATAGTCTGGGAGTTGGTTCTGGTTTGTTTGTTAGATTTGCTGTAGTCTCATCCCTAAGCAAAATGATGTGAAGGTAGAGTTGTGTTTTTAAAACAAACAGCTCCTTTTCTCTGTTTACTCCTGCTTGGGCAGGCTCAGTCCTCTACCCTGTGTAATATTAATGCTGAATTCTTAACTACATGAATCTTTAGCTGAACTATTCCTGCTATAACTATTACAAAGGATTAAAAAATTAAAAAAAAAAACCCACACACTTTTCCCTCAATCAAAATTTCTGTTCATTTCAACAGGTTAATTTTAGTAATCTTAGAATGTTACTTAATGGAAAATGGCAAACTAATTTCAGTTACCTTTCTCTGGCTGTGATAAAACAGTGTGACCAAAAGCAACTTGAAAAAGAAAGGGTTTATTTTCCTTACACGTCCAGGCAATGGTCCATCACTGAGGGAAGTCAGGGCAGGAACTGATTCAGAGGCCACGGAGGAACATGCATTTCTCGTTTGCTCCCCATTGCTTACTCGGCTTCCTTTCTTATCCACCTCAGGACTGCTCAGGGGTAGCACCATCCACAATGGGCTAGGTTCTCCCATGTCAGTCATCATTCAGGAAAAATTAACTTCAGACTTGCCTACAGGTCAATCATATAGAGACATTTTCTTGATTATGATTCTTTCCATATGATCCTCGTTTGTGCGTAGTTGACATGAAAGCCAACCATAATAATCTGCCTCTTGTCAACTTGACACACTAATATGGCATGTATTAAGCCATAACATTTCTTGTTCCCATGATGTCATGCTTCTATTTATTTGACAGTGCAAACCATCCCAACCTTTGAAAGTCCCACCGTCAGTAAAAGTCTCAACACTTTAAATGTTCAGTATCTTTAAAACATCTAGTCTCTTTCAAATTTCAAAGGCTATTTAAAATTCCAAAGTTTCTCTAAAATAACAAAACTCTTTCTAACTACGGGCTCCGGTAAGATGAAACAAGGACAAAACTAAAGACAAAAAGTTAAATACTTTTTTAACCTAAGAGGGAAGAACACAGTCACACATGCACAATTACAAATAAAATCAAAACCCAGATTCAACAGTGTAGAAAGTTTGATGCTTGACATCTGAGGCCCGTTCATGATCCTTCGGGCTCTAGAGGGTTTGGATAGCTCGCTTTACTTCTTGGGAACTGGCAGCTGCAAGCACATGCAGTTTGGCTCATAGTCTGAACCCTGCTCTGCAGTTGCTGTGCTTGGCAGCTGTCTTTTGGTAACACTATCTCTAAAATGCTGGTGTCTGCTGTTATAGCTGTGCTGTGCTTTCATCGGTAGTTTCTCCTGGTATCTCTTTAAGGACTCTGACCCTGATACCTGGTACAAAGCCTCAACTTCTCTCCCTGACCTCTTCAGACCTGGGCCTTCTACTGCAGCTGAAGCTCTACCTTCACCAATGGCCTCTCCATGCATCCCTTCAGGGACTCCTGCCCTGCCAAAAAATGCCAAGCCTCAGCTATACTCCATGACCCCTTCATGACTTCAAAACCAGTATTACCTGAGTGACTGTTACACTACCAAGTTCGGTTGCCAGCATGAGATGAAACCTCCACTCCTGGGCTTCTGTGTCCTGATTGAAAGGAAACACTTTCCAGAAGAGTCTGCCTTGGGTGAGGTCCCCCCAATCTCTCTCTTTTTTGTCTCTCTCTCTCCATGTTTGTACTGATTATTTGGGAATTTCACCTAATGCACCCCAATCACACACTTCCCATTCCTCCCAGGTATGCCACCCACCACTTTTTTTTAAGCCTATGCCCCCCCCCAACAAAAATAAAAGAAGAAAGAAGAGGAAAAAAACCCCTACAAGTCCAGTTTGTGTTGCCCATATACTCACTGGAGGATGGTCAAACTCCCAGTGGACAGATCCTTAAAGAAAATGGAGTCCTTCCTTATCCTATCCCCTGCCAGAAGCCATCTGTTTTAGAGAGCGACACTTCATCATCCATATCAAAATGTTAAAGAGTTCTCTTTGACTGCTTCCTGCCTAATCTGTTACTTTTGGGAGGTGGTGGTGGGATGAGGATTGATGGAGGAGGAGGTTGTCACAGGATCCTTCTATGACTCTCAACTGTGAGTCTGCAGTCATTCATACCACTTAAAAAGTAACTTCCTTGCCCTTTACAGTCAGCTGGAGCATGGATCACGGACTTCATATAGCTTCTGGTGACATGAAGGGCCATGGATATCTACATGGTTCCCACTGGCAGTACAGACCAGACATTGACAGAGCCCTCTGCTGCAGCATAGGCCATAGACACCATTGTGGTCCTTGGTGGCAGCACAGGCCACAGACAGCAACATGGACTCTTGTGGCTACATGACCCTCGGACATCAACATGGCTTCAGGTGGCATCATAGACCGTGGACATTGGTCTAGCCCTTGGTGGTAACAGAGGCCATGGAGATCAACACAGGCCCTGGCTGTAAAATGACCCATAGGCATTAACATAGCAGGATAGGCCACTCACATCAACATGGTCCCTGGCGGCTGCACAGTCTATGGGTGTCAACATCAACATGGATTTAGGCAGCAGCACAGACCAGGCGATGTTGGTCTCCTAACTGCAGTTCATTATTCATCAGCTGTTCCTTCAAAGCAAAGGTTTCTGGTCTCTGTTTAATTAGAATTGATTCTTTAGCCCCAGCTGACCAGATCCAGAATCTTAATTCAAAATATCAAATGACCCTAATAGTCTTTGAGTAACTCTCAAACTTCCTTGTGAAACTTCACAAGCCAAGCCTCTACTATCTGAGTTTCTCTCAACACTCTTACTCTCCAGGCTCCCATTGAACATCCCACTGAGCTTTTAACACTCAAAATATTTTTGAGCCCAAAGTCTCAAAGTCTTTCCACAGTCCTCCCAAATATTGTCAGATTTGTTACAAAAATACCCCGCTACTGCTACTAATGTCTGTCTTTTTTATTGCTGTGATAAAACACCACAACCCAAAACAACTAGACGAGGAAAGGGTTTATTTAAGTTACCCTTCCAGGCAACAGCCATCACTGAGGGAAGTCAAGGCAGGAACTGATATGGAGGCCACATATCAGGGAAGTTCTGCTTACTAGCTTGCTGACTCAGTAAGAAACTATCAAGAGAGAGAACATAGACAAAGGCTTTCAACATTTTTGTATGAGTTCACACAGGTGTTAGTGGTAGTTTGAAAATTGTGTTGCAGTTTGCAGTTTCTGTCTTAACTAAGCACTCAAATAATTGAGACTACTGTATTTATTTGATAAGCTTTATGGCACATGAACTGAGCAGTATTAATCTTTTGTTTTGTTTTGTTTTCAAGACAGGGTTTCTCTGTGTAGTCCTTGGATGTCCTGGACTCACTTTGTAGACCAGGCTGGCCTCAAGCTTACAGAAATCCACCTGCATCTGCCTCCCTGAGTGCTGGGATTACAGGTGTGTGCCACTGGCCTGGCTAGTATTAATCTATCTTAACTCTCTGAGCTGATCTGCCCCCTCTCCCCACCCAGGGTAAATCTCTGAGATATTTGCTTTTATGGCTTTCTCTGCTACAGCTGCTCCTCCTGATGGCTCCTGGACTTCTCCTCAGGGATCAATTCCCACTTCTCTTTCTCTCCATCTCCCCTGGCTGACAGGAAGTCCAGCCCTATTCTCTCCCTTGCTCAGTCATTGGCAAGTTTCTTCACTGACATATCAGGGAACAATTGGGGAGCAAGGTTTAGACAGGAGATTCTCAGAACAAGGATATGGGGCCCGCAGAAATCAACATTTGAATCTTTACACACTACACAATAACATTATGCCTATCCAGAGGTATATGGACACACACAAATATGCACACACACAGACACACACAGACACACACAGACACACACAGACACACACACAGTAAAAAAGGAAGCTATAGAAGTTTTTGAAATAGAAAATATTTGTTAAAACAACTTATGAAAACAGAAAGAAATTATGGATCTAAAAAGCATGAGGACCACAATGAATTTTTTTCTAGAGACAACACTTGCCAGTATTGCTCTACCTACTCTTTACTGCAACATTGATTTCTAAGGTGTATATGTATGGAAAATCTTTTCATTGTATTTTTTTCAAGATGCTGGCATGGAATACATCAATTAAAGACATTGATACATTTTTCCTTTGAGAGCACATGGGACTATTTCTATTTATGATGCAGTCATTGGTTGTGTTCTATATTGTCTTTGGAGCTCTGTGTCCTAAAAATAGTCTCAACACAAAACACCAATATAAAACTTAGCAGGATTTCATAGGGAAGAGACTAGGACAATTTACACAGCAGTACAATATCTACTCAAGAAATGCTCTTACCAAATTTCCCCATAACATCATTCTGCTCTGGACCACTTGTGACATCCTGTTCTCATCTCCATTGAGACTTAGTAGGATTCTTGATGGGTCTTATCTTTTCTGCTTCTGGATCTTTATTTGCTCATAACCAGCACTCTCTCAGATCTCCCCTTTGATAATGAATATCAAAGTTCATTAGTACATAGACTCACTCAGCTTTTTCTTTGGCTCCTACATACTAGCATAACCGTAGCACAGATCTTCTGAAAACAAGCTTGTTTCTACTTTATACCACACTGAGGAAAATGCTATTCTACATACTGAATTCAAATGGGAATAACTATCTTTGGGAAACTGAACTACTTACTTTCTAAGCCTTCTCATGTGGAAGCAGGATATAATGACAGTACCAAGATCATGAAATGAGTTTAATTATGAAAACCTCTTAGAACAATGACCAACACAAAGAAAACAGCTGATAGCCACCAACTGTTATTAATACAAAACAGAGAAGGGATATTAGTAGCAACAGTTCTTATCTAACTACATGGTCAGGTCGCATTTAATAACAGTGTTCAGCAGACAAGAAACAAATATATGTGGAAAATTTATCTAGATGATCTTCAATGTCATTTCCCCCCCTGAAAAGAGCAAACTTCAGTGGGTGTCGACCAAACGAGTGGACTTCAATTGGACTCTCAGATTTGTCATTTATAAACCTTGCACAAATTACCTTACATAGCTTGAATCTTGGGTACTTCATTTGCAGGTTGGAAATTTGTGATGGAGTGTGTTAGTTAATCAAAGCAGGAGGTGGGAAGAATCCAGAGATAAAGAACGAGTAACAAAGAAGTGTTTGCTATTATTGATTAGTATAAGAAACATGGTCTGCTCTCAGATGCTTGATGGCTTCAGGTAATGCAGTATTTTTCTTCTTTTTGAGTTTGTTTTCTTCCTTTTGAACCTTAAATAATGTTTACACTGTTAGAAGTCCAATTAGAATGCAGAAAGTGAGTGGACAGAGTGTTTCAGAAACCAGCTGGATGATGCTTATGTGCTGCCCATTAGATTGTGAGCAAGGACCAGGTTTTGAGATGGCCACTTGTAGGCTGTGGCCACTTCCAATTGAAAGCATGATCTGGCAAGCGTTGGTGAGTCATCACTTTTACCACCAGAGGGCATGCCAAAACCATGCAACACTACTGACCTCTCTCCCTTTTTTTTAAATTCTTTATTAATTACACTTTATTCACTTTGTTTCCCCCCCCTGTGGTTCCCTCCCTCCTCCCATCCCAATCCCTCCCTTCCTCCACCTTCTGCATGCATGCCCTTCCCCAAGTCCACTGATAGGAGAGGTCTTCTTTTCCTTCCTTCTGATCCTAGTCAATGAGGAGTGGCTGCATTGTCTTCTTCTGTGGCCCGGTAATGCTGCTTCCCCCTAATTAAAGAGCAGGACAATCATTTCATGTCAGAGACAGTCACTGTTCCTATTGCAATGAAACCCACTTGGATACTGAGCTGCTATCCCAGAAGCAGAAAGATGCACACTGTATATACTCACTCATATAGACATATAATATAGGATAAACCTACTAAAATCTGTACACCTAAAGAAACTAATCAAGAGGGAGGACTCTTGCTAAAATGCTCAATTCCTATACAGAAAGGCAAAGAGGATGGACATCAGAAGAAGAAAAAAAGAGGGAACAAGTCAAGAACCTGACATAGAGGACCTCTGAAAGGCTCTGCCCTGCAGACTATCAATGCAGATGCTGAGACTTATGGGCAACCTTTGGGCAGAGTGCAGGGAATCTTATGAAAGAAGTGGGAAACAGTAAGATCTGGAGAGGACAGGAACTCCACAAGGAGAGCAACAGAACCAAAAAATCTGAGCACAGGGGTCTTTTCTGAGACTGATACTCCAACCAAGGACTATGCATGGAGATAACCTAAGACCCCTGCATAGATGTAGCCCATGGCAGCTCAGTATCCAAGAGGGTTTCACTACTGACCTCTTAAGGTGAAACCAGTAAAGTCCAGATTTTAGCACTTTACAGGGCCCCAGAAAGGGTTTCTTTTTTCCTTCTTTAATTTATTTATTGTTTTATTAATTACAGTTTATTCACTTTGTATCCCAGCTGTAGCCCCCTCCCTCCGCCCCTCTCAATCTTATCCCTCCCATTTCTCCTCCCATGCCCCTCCCCCATTCCACTGCTGGGGAGGTCCTCTCCCCTTCCATCTGATCTTAGTCTATCAGGTCTCATCAGGACTTGCTGCATTGTCTTCCTCTGTGGACTGGTAAGGCTGCACCCCACTCAGGGGGAGGTGATCAAAGAGCCAGCCATGGAGTTCATGTCAGAGACAGTCCCCATTCCCATAACTAGGGAACCCGCTTGGACACTGAGCTGGCACAGGTTACATCTGTGCAGGAGTTCTAGGTTATCTGCATGAATGTTCCTTGGTTGGGGGATCAGTCTCAGAAAGGACCCCTGGGCCCAATTTTTTTCTCTCCTTGTGGAGCCCCTGTTCCCTCCAGATCATTTTATCTCTCCCTTCTTTCATAAGATTCCCTGCACTCTGCCCAACGTTTGTCTATGAGTCTCAGCCTCTGATTTGATACCCTGTTGGGTAGAGTCTTTCAGAGGCCCTCTATGGTAGGCTCCTGTCCTGTTCCCTGTTTTCTCCCTCTTCCAGTGTCCATCCCATTTGGCTTTCTGAATGAGGATTGAGCATCTTACCCAGATCCTCCTTCTTGCTTAGCTTCTTTAGATGTACAGATTTTAGTATGTTTATCCTATATGATATGTCTAATATCCACCTTTAAGTGAGTATATACAGGGTGTGCCTCTCTGCTTCTGGGATACCTCACTCAGGATGATCTTTTCTAGTTTCCACCATTTGCCTGCAAATTTCATGATTTCCTTGTTCTTAATTGCTGAGTAGTATTCCATTGTGTAAAAATGTACCATAATTTTTGTATCCATTCCTCAACTGAGGGACATCTGGGTTGTTTCCAGCTTCTGGTTATTACGAATAAAGCTGCTACAAACATGGTTGAGCAAATATCCATGTTGTATACTTGAGCATCTTTTGGATATATGCCTAGGAATGGTATAGCTTCCTGAAGAGAACACCAACAGCACAGGCTCTAAGATCAAACAACAATCAATAAATGGGACCTCATGAAACTGAAAAACTTCTGTAAAGCAAAGGACACTGTACAAAATGATAGCCTACAGACTGGGAAAGGATCTTCACTAACCTTGTATCTGACAGGGCTAATATCCATAATATATAAAGAACTCAAGTTAAACAGCAACAAATCAAGTAATCCAATTAAAAATTAGGGTACAGAGATAAACAGAGAATTCTCAATAGAGGAATATTGAATGGCAGAGAAACACTTAAAGAAATGCTCACTATCCTTAGCTACCAGGGAAATGGAAATAAAAATGACCCTGAGATTTCACCTTTCACCCATCAGAATGACTAAGATAAACAACTGAAGATAACACATGCTGGAGAGGATGTGGAGAAAGAAGAATCCTCCTCCATTGTTGGTGGAAATGTAAACTTGTACAACCACTTTGGAAATTAATCTGGTGCTTTCTCAGACAATTAGGAATAGTGCTACCTTAAGATCCAGAAGGGGTTTTAAATCAGGAATCTTCACTTTGTTTCTCTGTACTGTCTCTTTAGACACTGATTGCAGAAGCTTATGACTGTGTGTTAATTGCTTTGGCTCCTTCAGCCATCATATCCTGTTTCGGTAGAGCTGCCTTATTAGAGTATGCTTTATGCCTTCATCCCAGCAGAGCCACATAATACCTGAATAGCAAAAAAGAGACTAAGAGTTCCCAGAAGGCCTTTCCAATTTGCTGTGTGCAGATACTATAAACTGTTTATGTCTGATCGAGACATTATTCTTCCTTGAGCTATTTCTTTTTTCATGCTTGCCCAACTTTTTCCTGTTCCATAACAGACAGAAGAAAAGGATGAGAAGACATCATCACAGGGTGGATTTCCCCCTTGAAATATTAAGTTTTTGGCAACTAAAAACATCTCAAAGCCCACTTATCTTATAATCTCAAAGCCCACTTCCAGTGACATAATTTTTCATCTCATACTTTCAGCAAGGCTGAACTTCCCAAACTTCCCTAAACAGTGTCACCAACTGGGAACCACCTGTTCATGTGCCCAAAACTATAGAAGACATTTTTCATCAAAACCATAGACGGAAAGGTTAAATTAATGAAATAACTAATTACCAAGTGATTACTATGAACCAAACACCTTCACATTTGAAATAACCAATGTTAGAAACAGGTCCCTGTCCATGCAAGTATTATAATCTCATATTACATGCCAATAAGTTATTACTTATGTTAGAGAAATGATGAGTGCCGAAAGTGAGAAAAATGATGGAATTTGAGAGTATAAAGGGGCAGCAGGTTACACTTTTTAAAGGGGAGCTGAAGGCTGGCCTCATTGAAATGGTATTTGAACAAACATGTAAAAGTAAGGCAGTTAAGAAATTAAGGTCTGGTATCTGGGGAAAACTGGTTCTAAGCAGGGAGAACAATTGGCATAAAGATCCCCAAGGTAGTGATATTGTTGTTGTTGTTTTTTTTTAATCTGAATTGTTTGATTTTACCAATAAAGACTCAGGAGCCAGTTGCTGGGGTGAAAGACTGCTCTCTCAGAGAGGCAGAAAAAGCACCCAGCTGACCTTTCTTCTCAGCTGATGTTCCCAAAGAAGGAAGAGCTCCTTCCTCACAATGTCTTAAAAAGTAAACCCCTCAAAAGA